GGGCAGAATCATCTAACACAAAACTTATGATAAAGTGTTGGATATCTCATGGAATGTATTGAGTACATTGGAGGGTACAGTCTCTGTTGTTTACTGTCATGACCACATGGCTGACTGGGAGCTGTGCTCACTGCACTGCCCAGCACAGGAAAGAGTATCACACCACATATCACAGGTCAGGAAAATATCAAAATTCAACATTCTAAGTATAGTTCCTACTGAATGCATATCACTTTGGCATCATCATAAAGCTGAACAATCAAAAATAGAAACTTCTGAAGAAGGGAACTGTCTGCATTTAGTCTCCTTCAAGCGTCAATGTTATCCTTTCAAAATGAAAGTGTTTGCTTAATAGGATTGTTTGTGTCGTCAGCAAACCACCAGGCACAGAATCCTGTTGATCCCAAAACCACAGAAGTTCTTATGGGACATGAACCGACCAGAAATCCTGCTCTCTCCGGCACCCATGCCTAGGAAATGTTTGAGTCTAGTAAACCCCAGTTCTCTAGGGTTGAATGGAAACCACAGTCCACGATTAGGAACAATCCCAAAGTCTCCACCTCGCCATTCAAATTTGACAAATGCTCGGTTCTGAGTACAGCAATACAGCAGCTGAGTGCTTCCGAGATGCCTGAAGGCCGGAGGGAAGATGGTTGTCACCTGGACTTTGTTTGACAGCAGAACTCAGTCTTTCACCTACAAGCAGTCTCATTTCCCTCTAGCATGGCATTTTTGAGGGCTGGCTTTTAAAGGGCTACATGGCTTGTTTCCTGTCTTATGGCGCCACATCCCAACAAACCTTTCTGTCATAAGTATTTTTCGAGAAGTAGAAATACAGTAGATTCATATTTTCATCTGCACTTGTGTACAAGTGTGGGTCCCTAGTTGTGCTTTGGCCGGTCCGTGTGGTCACCAGGATGTGTACATGCATGTATGCACAAGTTCTTTTGCATTGCCATTTTAAGAAACTTTATCTAGATTTTTTTTAAAGCGCCAAGTTTTTTTGGATTATGCAGAGCTCTCATGAGTTCTCCTCCCCTCCCTTTCTTTACTCCTTCCCTTTCATTGTTATTTCATGTTTAACCTTATTATTTTTCCATGTCCTTCTCACTGGATTTACTAAGAATGCTGGATAGATAGTAGATCTCAATTATCAAGAGTACACGCTTTGTTTATGTTTATAAATTACCATGATAAAAATGGTATATACAATAACTGTACTCCACTGTAACACTGTTAATTTATAGGTTACTTTCATCATATTTTAAATTTTGTTAATGATTCATATTTAAATGATACAGGTATTTGGATTTATTAACTCCCATGTTGACTCACTTTTAAAAAATCTACTTACACCCGGGCTCGGTGGCTCAGCCTGTAATTCCACGCCTTTGGGAGGCTGAGGTGAGTGAGCCCGCGGGTTCAAGACCGGCCTGGGCAGCGAGACCTTATCTCTACAATAAATCAAAAAATCAGCCGGGCGTGGTAGCACATGCCTGTAATTCCGGCTACTTGAAAGGCTGAGGTGTAAGGATCGCTGGAGCCCAGCAGGTTGAGGCTGCGGTGGCCGGAAGCGGCCACTGCACTCCAGTCTGGGCAACAGAGTGAGACTCCAACTCAAAAAAAAAAAAAAAAAAATCTACTTACTAGGTTTAATTTTAATTATACCAACCCCAAATAAGTAAGAATATTAATAGAACACAGATTTGTTTTTGTGCTTTCTGTACCTAAAACAATAATCCTACTGTTTACTAGAATATGCTGCCTAAGTATTATTTGTGTAGGACACTTTCCTTATCCAAGAATTTTACTGTCTTTTCAAAAACAAAAAATAAAACGATCCATGCAGAATATGCCCAGAAAAATTGCAAGATAGAGAAGTAGAGAAACTGTGAGCTGAGTAGTCAGTTTTCAGAATAAGAACTGGAAGACATGTTTCAGAACAGCTTTTGATGTTGGTATATCTTTCTAGTTGACATTTTCAGTATTACAAAAACATTCAGAATTCAAGAATGTCAAGAACATTTGGAACACTGAGATGATTTATCAGCTTTTTCCATTTTTGTAATATATGCATTTTATAGATTATTAGAAAAAAGCTTTGCTTTTTAAAAAAATGTCATTTGGCAAGTTAATAGGGCAATGTTTTTAGGACCATTTTCCTAGTGGTATCACTTCATGAATTAATAATTCTGGAACTTATTCTGGAATAAGCATTAGAATGTTTATTCTATGTTACTTGTTAATGTCTGTTCCCTTATGAAGTGGAATTCTGAAAAATGAATTCAAAAAAGGAGATGGTTTTGCCACAATCTGTAGTTAAGATAATCAGTCAATGTATATTTCATTATAGACCGCAAGTAGAGATTACTAAATTCTTTAACTTAATTATACAAAGTAATTATAGAAAGTTCCTTGTCACAGTAATTTTCAGATATAAATATTAGGAGTATATTTTGAAAGGCATATTACGTATAGCAAAAAGAAAAGGAAAACAACCCTACGTTTTATAATTACATTGAAAATATGTAAACATAAGTACACATATTCACTGTGCTAGCCAGCATCCAAAAAGGCGCCTGGTGATATTCTCACCTTTGTGTGAATCTCTCCCCCTCTGTGCCATGGTTACTGTGTGTGACCAACAGCATATGCCAAAAAGTGTATGTCCCTTCTGTGATTAGTTATCAAAGACTGTGGCTTCCATCTGAGGTTCTCTCTCTCTTTTTCAATGTCATCACTCTGGGAGAAGCCAACTGCCATTTTGTGGAAACGTTACAGCATCCTAGAGAGGCCTATGTGATGAGGAACAGAGGCCTTCGACCAACTGCCAGGAAGAACTGAGGCCTGTCAACAACCATATGAATGAGCTTAGAAACAGATTCCCCGGCACCACAGAGCCGTGAGATGGCTGCAACCCTAGTGACAGGTTAATTATAACTTTAAGAAAGACCCTGAGCCAGAAACATCTGGCTAATCCACTCCCAGATTCTGACCTTCAGAAACTCCATAAAATAATACATGTGTGTTGCTTAAAGACATCAATATGAAGCCACAATGGATGACTAATATAGTTTGTCAATGTTGGACGAAAGAAGCATGTAGGAATTTTTTTAATTGGAAGTTTTTCATATTTCAAGCCTATCATTAGCACGTCAGCTTGCTTTCTGCTTTAAATTAAAAATATTTGACAGGCTGGGTGCAATGGCTCATGGCTATAATCCCAGCACTTTGGGAGGCCAAAGAGGGAAGAGCACTTTAGCCCAGAAGTTTGAGAGCATCCTGGGCAACATAATGAGGCCTTACCTCTTCAAAAAATAAAATAATTAGCTGGGCGTGGTGGCACATGCCTGTAATCCCAGCTACTAAGGAGGCTGATACCTGAGTATAACTTGAGTCTAGGAGGCCAAGGTTGCTGTGTGCCAGGATCATACCACTGCACTCCAGCTGGGGTAGCAGAGTAAAACCTGGTCTCAGAAAAAAATAGTAATAATAATATAAATAAAAATAAAAACATATGACAGTATTGAGACTCTCTCTAATTATTCTATTCCTAAATACATAAAGGGCTTTTTTATTTTCCATCATGGCATGAAAATAGCAATGTCAGTTAATGTCATCCAAAAGCACAAAATGATTTTATTCAAATATATTTTGGATGATATAGTATATTTTAGGAAAAGCATCTGCCACTAAAATGTATGCTTCAAAATGATGTATTGCTGGCATGGATCATGACCGCCAGTACTCTGATTCCCTGTGCAGAAGGGCTTGTTTGCACAGTGTGAGGTTGGTATTCGTGCTATGTGATTGTCTATCATGATAGCACTATGAAATGAGTGCTGACAGTCTATCAGTTGAGAGATGCTTTGACTTAAAAGATGTTCTTTGTTTCACTAAATTGTACAATGTCAAGGAATTCTGCTGTCACTAAAAAAAGAGCACTTAATGATGAAATACCTAATTTCTTAAAATGAAACTTTCTGGTTTCCTAATTCCATAGGTACTCGATGTCTGGATGGTTTTATTATCAATCGATCAGCATATATTGGAGACTTGAAGACCCAGACTAGCTTACTAGGCGAACATTTTATCTCAAGCTTCAGATGATGGTGTAAAATGGTGGTGAGGGAGAGGGAATGGGAATTGGTCTTTGCGCTAGTTTTCTCAGCTGCCATAGAAAAGTACCACAGACTGGGTGACTTAAAAAGCAGACAGTCCTTTTTCATGTTCTGGAGGTTAGAAGTCCAAGAAAGGGTTGGTTTCTTCTGAGAGCCTCTCCCTTTGACTTGTAAATGGTTGTCTTTCTCTGCCTTCAGGTGGTCTCCCCTCTATGTATGTCTGTACTAATCTCTTCTTATTAGAGCACCGATCATATTGGATGAGGATCTACCCTAATGACCTTATTTTGTCTCATTAAAGACCCTGTATCCAAACTGGGATACTAAGAGTTAGGACTTCAACTATAAATTTGGGAGTACATTATTCAGCCCATAAGAGAATTGATATATATTGTTTCAGTAGATAACTAACCAAATAAAATTATTGGGAATTTTAAGAGAACTGAATAAGAGATATGTGTTATAATAAAAGTGGTGATAACTTCAGGCTTTTTAAAGTGTATTTTATGATAGTTTTGATATGCTTTTTTTTTCTAATTTTATGATTTATTGTAGAGACGAGGTCTTGCCATTTGATATGCTTTTTAACCATAGACTCCAATTCAAAAAAAATAACTATAATTTTTATTTCTTCTGCATAAATACTTGTGATAGTAATTTGATACAAACAGCCCGATTCCAAGAAAGACCAACCTCAAATGTAGTTTCTTAAATTTACAGATATTATAGTAAGCTTATAGTATCTGGTATATATGTGTGTGTTTGTCTAAATAAAGATAAATTAGTCATTCATTTATACCAGAGAACACTATTAATAAAAACTCAGACTGATCTTTATTTTCCCATCCATCATTTAAAAAAATTATTTCAAATAATATTCTACCAACTTAATAAATGGACAATACATATCATTACTATCAGCGTGGTTCTTCGTGCTTGTGCTGTGAGGTCTGATGAAGCATTTGATGCACAATCCTTCTCATACAACCTCCCAAAAAGAGTCACTGTTAAGACAGGTCTAGATGTTGGCTTCAGGCTAGACAAGCATCCATCATCTGACACCTAATTAAAACACAGAAGAGTAGATGAGGTCTGCTTTTAAGTTATACAGTCCCAGAACACACTTTTAAAATTCAGTATAACTAATGAAGAAACTATAAAAATACAGGCCAAATTCTCTTCCATCAGAAATAGTTAAAATGCGGCAGATTATAAGAAAAATTAAAGCCATGGAACTGGCACGTCTTTATTAATGAAATGCTTGTAATGAATATGCTGTAATTTAGTTACCTAAGGAAGCATCCCCTGAGTTAATAAACATAAACCAATTGATTTGGTTTTATATGAGAGAAATCTGGTCCTCTTGGACAAGATAAAGGCTCCCCCAAGGGGTCAGAAGTGATTGACTAAGGGGTTTGAAGTGAGCTTCCATCATTCCCGGTGGCCTGCTCACCACAGCCTCCTCACCTCTCTCTGTCCTCCCTCGTCCCAGCGGGAGGTTTGACCAGAAAAGGGGAGTGACAGTGAAACCTACAGGAAAAGTCAGAGGAAGAATGTGGCTGGGCAGAGCACGAGTGCAGCAAGGGATTATTTCTGGACTTTAAAAAGATCTTGCTTCTTTGCTTGCATCAGCCACTGTCGAATTCTCTCTCCTTCAGCTCTTCCTCCTTTCTCCTGGGGCACACAGGGTCTTACTCCACACAGTGGGAGGACTCCTTTCTATCTCCCGACATCACTGCCACCATCCTAAGGGGCTCTAGTGGGACTCGTTCTGAAACTATTCTTGTTGAATCTTTTCACTGCTTGACAAACAACCCAGACTCCTCCTTATAATCCCCCAATAAGATATACATATTTTTAATTCTCAAGGACTCACTCATTATTACATTAAGAATTTTCAAGAAAGAAATTCAGCCTGCTTAGGGTCCATCTTGATCCCCAAGGATAATCTTGCTCTTTCCAAATAGAAATTGTCATATTTGTAAGCACTTCGGTTGGTTCTGATATCAGCAAGTGCTTCCTCTTACATAAAATTAATTGACACTATCTAGCAAAGACTCTTACCTGAAATTCTCCGGGTGCAAGTCGCATTTCACTCAGCAGCACCTCAGGGAAGACATATTGGGTTCCAAAGGTGCCGCTGAGGGAGAACATCTCAAACGTGGTAGAAGCCGTTTCCACTGAGTCACCACACGTGTGTAAGTCAGTTGTTTTACACTTCAGCAGAGTACAAACCTAGGGGAGTCATACAAACCAGGAAGTCACAAGAAAGCCATCCTGGATATGCCAATCAGCTTGATTTAATCCTTTCACAATGCATATATATATATTGAAACATCACATAATACACTGCAAATATATACAGTTTTTTATTTGTTATGACACCTTAGTAAAGCTGGAGGAAATTTTTAAAAATAAATATCTGAAACTGAGATGACCTTTTAGAAAAGAAAAAATAAAAATAATAAATAAAAATGCTAGATGCTCTCAAAAAAAAGTCATGAGAAAAATCAATTAAAATACCCTACTGTGGCAGTAATGGGAAACTGCAGGTAGTAGGGGATGAGGTGGGATTGGCAGTAGTGGGAACCTGCCAGGGGACAGCGGGGGGCACACCTCATCAACAAGGGTACCTGCATAACGAACATTTGTATACCTAATCTTGAATTGTACCCTACATCTTTAAAATTAAAAATTTTTTTAAATATCCTACTGACCTAGAAAAATACCTGTGCTCTTTTCTTCAGTAAAATACTATTACATCCTCATTACGTTTGTCCAGTTTATTACTGGATAATTCATGCAAATAGTAATAAAAATAAAGGACTTCAAACCCCAGTGCTTCCTGCAATTCACTCTCAAGCAGATTAATTACACAAAGAGACAATTATACCATTGGCCTATAGCCATGAACAACTATGCCCTCATTGTTCTCAAGCTAGCAATGCTTTTAATTATCATGAGTGTTTGATTTTTTTAAAGGTTTAATTTAAACACTAGTGTAAACTCTATCTTATTCCCTATTTCACACAATAAAAGTACTTTGGAGTCATAATAAGCACTAGAGTTGAACTCGTGGCAACCCCTGTCACCTGGAAAGTTGCATCCTTTCTATCTGAGCAAGGACTGAAACAGCTCTCCATTAAGATTTTCTCCACGACATTTCATAGCTACTTGAATATAAAATCTAAGTATATAAGTCATCTCACCATGCAAGTTTCCAAAAGGAGACTCATATTCATTTAACTTCCTCTGTACAGAATCTTCCAAGCCACCTTCATTTCTTGTGTGACTAAAACTGTAACTGGTCTCCCTGCTTCCACTTTTTCAGATAGACAGTAAGCACTTCAGGGCAAGTGTGTTAAGATAGGATGGAGATAACTTTCAGGTAGAATGAGCATACACTTCTATTTTGTTTCCAGAAATGCTACAAAAACCGAGAGTAGTTTTTTTTTTTTTTTAAGGTAAAATTCTACAAAGATGCATAAGTAGGAGGGCAGACCCTAGCACAGTTTTAGAAACTAGGGTGTTGATGCAAAAATTAGTAACTGATTTAGCAGATCCAAGAAAGCCTAGTACTAAACTAGCAGTGGGAAAAGCCAAGAATCAACCCTATCTACACTGCAGAATACTCAAATATTCCATCCTTGGGACCTCTGGGTACCTGGAGATTGGAGTAAAGTTGTGGCAGCCAAAGGGAGGAAAATTGATGGACAGTTGTGAAGGCTGCTTTGGTACTAAGTCCCCCAACGCAGATGACTGCCCCTTCTTTACTTCAGCAAAAGACTGGGAATTTATTTCCTGAGAGAGTAAAGCAGATGGAGATTTTTTAAAAACATAGCTGAGGCTGGGTGAGGTGGCTCACGCCTATAATTCCAGCACTTTGAGAGGGCCAAGTGAGAGGATTGCCTGAGCCCGGGGTGGGGGAGTGGGGGTGGGGTCGAGACCAGCCTGGACCACTTGGCAAGACCTCATCTCTGCAAAAAATTAAAAAATTAGCTGGGTGTGGTGGCGTGTGCCTGTAGTTCCAACAACTTGGAAGGCTAAGGCAGAAGGATCGTCTTAGCCCAGCAGGTGGATGCTGTGGTGGCCATGAGTGTGCTACTGCACTCCAGTCTGGGAAACAGAGTGAGACTTCGACTCAAAAAAAAAAAAAAGTAACTGAAGGAACTTGTAAGTCCAAAATTTAGTCTCCCAATCAACAAATAGGTTATGATCCAAAACCAAAATAGACAGAACAGGACATCCACACAGGGGAGTGGTAAAGAAAATCTTCACCATGACGAAGAGGGCAGATTCCAGGACAACATCTTTATTGTACATGGCATGAAGGACAGCCAGTTCAGATTACAGCATTATGACTCAAGAGAGAGTGTTGACGGAGATTTGGCTCCCACAGAGCAAAGGAACAAATAAAAAAGAAAACAGGGAATCCAAAGCAAGAAAAAGCAAAGACAGAATTCCTAGGACGATAGTAAAGGAAGTCTCAAGATGACAGCTGTGCAAAAGTACTAGAGGGAAACCAGTGCCGAGAAAGGCTATTAATTTAACACAGGATTACTTGATGAAAATGATCTTTAGGGAAATTGTTCTGAGATGCTGTTGGAAGGTGTGGGAATTTAAACAGAAAAAATCAAAGAAAATTCAGGAAATTTAGCCAGGCATAGTGATTCACATATGTAATCTCAGTACTTTGGAAGGTTGAGGCAGAGAATCACTTGGGGCCAGCAGATCAACATAGTGAGACACTCTCTCCACAAAAAAGAAAGAAAGAAAGGAAAGGAAGGAAGGAAGGAAGGAAGAAAGGAAGGAAGGAAGGAAGGAAGGAAGGAAGGAAGGAAAGACGGAAGAAAAAAACCAGGCCCAGTGGCATGCACCTGTAATCCCAACAATTGGGAGACTGAGGGCAAAAGGATTAGTTGAGCTCAGAAGTTTGAGGTTACAGTGAACTATGGTTGTGCCACTATTCTCCAGTCTAGGCAACAGAGAGATACTCTGTCTAATAAAAATAAAATATAAGTAAATTTTGAAGGCAAGGCAATTAATAACTTTAGGAAAAACAAAGAGAAAAAAGAATATGCAATCAATGCTCTACTCTGAATAATGTTTGCATAGCCATAACAATGTGAATACTGCATATTGACATAAATAAAATTTATATTGGGAGAATGGTAGAGGGGACTTAGGCAAGATGATGTAGCAAAATGTTCATTTTTCAGAATAAAATATAAAAGAAAATGCAAGAGAAAGGCTAGAAACAATTCAGGCAATAAGGGGTTGGAAAGTCTTGCATATGAGAAGAAATGAATGAATAAAGGAACTGAATGACGAACAAAATAGCATTACTGAGTAATCTAAAAATGAATAAATTCCAGGAGACACAGCTGAAAGATTCAAACGTGTGTGCCTTCCGAAAGGCGGTTGGGGCAGAGTAGGGAGGGAACTAGTGTTCTATAAGTCTTTAGTAGTATTTGTTTTCTTAATTATTTCTATGAGTTACTTTGATTAAACTAAGGAGGAAGGAAGGGACAGAACCAATTCAGGTGATAAGAAGGACTAAAGACATAAAGGAATTGAATAAGGAGTGACTTTCAATGCAGACAGTGTTTGTGTCAGTGAAACCCAGTAGTGTAGGTCTGGTGATTAAAAGAAAGATTATGTTTCTTTGTATTAACAATAATAATAATAAAGGTTGATATTTATTAGGGATGTCACACATGCCAATTACAGTGCTAAATACTTTACATTAATTTATTAAATCAAACTTCCCAAAAGCCCTGTGAAGAATATATTATGATGATTATCCTTTCTCCTAGGACTAGATTAGGTCCTCTAGTAAAATGCTCTAATTGTGTGCTGGACTTTTCCTTTACGGCATGTGTCACAGTTAAAATCATACAGTAATTTCTTTGTTTTCTGATAGATTTCTGTCTCCTCGTGAGACGTAAGCTCTTTGAAGGCAGTGAATACGTCTGCCTTGCTCATCTTAATATCCCTAGCAAGTGCCTGAAAATAGCAAGCATTACGCAGGTTTTGTGAATGAAAATGATCCACATGTTACTGATAAGGACAATCAGAGATGTAAAGAGGGTTGTCGCCAGGCCAAGGGGCCACAATCTAGTGAGGCAGATATTCACCCAGAATACTGGGGCTTCGGAATCCGTGTTTTCCCCTTGTTACCTCAAGCCCCCGAATTTAAATTTTGATTTCTAGCAGAGATTTTTATCCCTCCTTCCTTACATAGTTGGGAAATGGGTCTTGCATTCTAAAACACCACTAGAGGCTGGTGATCTGGATAACTCTCACCCTGATGGGCAGATACAGAGAGGAGAAAGAGCACCGACAGTAATCTAAGGAGGAAGACTTCCTAAATGCTTTGGGTAAACAGAATAAACTTCTTTCATTTATTTATTCTTTTATTCAGTGATTTACTCAACAATTCTTTAAAATATTTAAGTTCTACAGCAACTGCTCCAAACCGGCTTTCTTCAAACTCTGCTTCAAGCTGTTTTACCCGGCCCTTTACTACCCACTTTATAAAATGCCACAACTTCCTTCTTTCTTCACTTCCTCAAATGTCTTACAAAATTATGCAAATTCACTGTAGAATGTTTGGAAAATCTGTGTGGCAAGATGGAGTTTATTTCGCTTTCATCTCTTTTTATTTTGCTTCCCTTAGTGTGAAGATAGCTTTTGGTGATAATAGAGATTTTCCTTGGATAATAAATCATCACAGACTATGAAAGATTATCAGTATAATGCAATACCAAAGTTCCTTATTCTCAATGCAAAATCCAAAATTATCTGAAAATTAAAAAAGTTTTTGCAGCCCATTTGGCATTAAAGCCTAACTTTAATTAACGTAAGGTCATCATGTAGCTATCCAAGCTATTTAAGGTGAATATTCCCATGTTTTCCAATAGATATGCTTGATTTGGGGTATTGCCCTGGACTATGATGGTAATATGAAGTAATATGTTATATTTAAAATTGGGAAATTCTAAAACATGTCCAGTATCAGTAGTTTAGAAGGAAAGTCATTGTCCGGCAATATCAACAGAGAGCTTGGTTTTACCTGGCAAAGTTAACCTACCTCCCAACACTAAGAAAAAATTTCTCAGCAGTCTTCTTAGGTAGAGCCAAGACTCCGGGGGCAAAAGAAAGGAATAAAAGGGAAGAAGAGCTGAGAGATTACTATCTTGTTTTGTAGCCAACTTTTTAAAGTTAAAAATGTGTTACAAAAAAAATTAAAATAACACATTTCAATTTTTTAAATTTTAAATATTTATATGGCAATATAATACCATATATATGCCACATACATGATGCAATATATGTTAATACACCATATAATAAATGACAATATTTACATGGCAGTAAAATTCTTCTAGATTATAGTTTACTTAACTAATTTCCACTTGTTGGACATTTTGTACGTATGTTCATGATACTATTTTTTTTCCCCTTTCCTCCTGCACCTTAGAGCATTGATCAGAAGTATTGATGCCTCCCATGTTTTATCTTTCTCTTCTTTTGTTGCTCTTTCCCTTAGACCTACCAAGATAATCAAGGCTCTCTCATTTGCTGGAAAACAAGACAAAACAAAACATCTGACCCGTGAATCTCTCTCTGGACCTTATCTTGTTTCTCTTCCTCCTATCGCAGATAAGGTTTCAAAAAAAATTCACCCACTCTTTCAATATTCTCACTTACCTTTGACTTTTTTGACTAAATATGATCTGCCTTTCATTTTAACATTATGAGTCCAGGAAATCCCCTCAAAATCACACGCATTAATGCCAATAATGATCACCATATTGTGTAAATACACTTCAAAATTTTCTCTTTCTGAGAATCTCTACCTACGCGATGGTTACGTAGTTGTCTTTTTAAATACTCTTTTATTGCTCAGGCATATTTGCAGGTCCCTGTTCTTCTGTCCATTTCGTTTCCTGTCGTAAACACAGGAGCTACAAAAGGCTCCACCCTCAGCCCACGGCTCTTTATTGTCAACAGAGTCTCCTTTGCAGTGCCGTTCACACTTGTGTGTTTAACCACCCCTGTGTCCTACCGATTCTGAAGACGAATTTCTACATCCGATACTCTCCTCAAGCATCAGATCCACATACTTAACAGCCAAATGGCCGGCTCTCTGAATGTCCCCTAAGTGCTGCAAAACCAGCACATCCAAAACTGAACTCAGTATCTCCCCCCTGCTCCCCAGTCTGCATCTCCCTTTGTGTCCTGATCTGTCCGAGGCATCTCCTCCACTAGCCACTCTTGCCAGAAACCACATGTTCTAGATCCTTTGTTCTGCTTTCCCGTTCTATATCAAATTAGCCACTGAGTTCAGTTTTTGAAATATTTCTTGACTCCATACCCAGCTTTTATGCCTGTTAACAAAACCTCGGTTCGGGCTCTAATAGGACTATTTTAATAATCTAACTAGCCTTCTTGACCTTTGTTCCATCATCCATAGTGCAGCCAAAATGATCTGCTTCCAGCAACTGCCCATCGCTGACAGAATAAAGTTCGAGCCTTAAGGATACCAGGCAAGATCCTGCAGGATATGACACCGCTTCCAGGTTGATTTTCCCATCCTTTCTTCTCACATTAGGCCTTGGTAATACGGACCTGCTTGCCCTTCCTGGCAGAGCTTGCTCACGCGTACATCCACACCCTTGCTCACGTTCTGCACTCCACAGAGAATTCCTTCCTGCTCTTTCTTACCCGGATAACAGCATCAGCCAGAAACTTCCCTGTTTCAGCTCCTTAGTACTCCTACACCAAAATGTGCATCTGTGCATTCTCCGTACTACCACATGCCAACATACACTGAAATAACCTGTTCAAAGGTCTTTCTCCCCTACTAGAGACGATAGTCCTCAAGAGAAGAGTCTATACTTATTCGTCTTCATATCATACACGCTGAACACCTACCTGGCATATAGTTGATACTCAATAACAGTAGAGTGCTTCTCACAGAGCAAACAAAATGTTATACAGGGGTCATAGTTTCAGCACTCACGAGGCTCTCAGTCTTAGACAAGTGCATGACTAATATGACATGATATGTCTTTGATAAAGAAAAGCACAGGGTGTTCCGGGAGCACATAGAAAAGGTACCTAACCTAGCTGGCAAGGTAACTGTCAAGCTGCAGGAAGTGTCAGAGCAGACTTCTTAGTGAAGATAACACCTGAAAAGCACTAGGGAAGATGAGTGGATAGGGGATACGGCCTATGCAAACACCCCGAGGCTCTGCAGATGTTAGCGCACCAGAGACAGGGAAAATGTCTGCATACTGCAGAAGCCCAGGCACATGTGAGTACAGGTAAGAGAAGGGAATAGAGAGCGGGAAGGAATCACACGTCAAGACTTGGTGAGTCTTTCATGTTGAGAAATTTGATTTGTCAATTAGAAGTCAATGAGGAATTTTAAGCTAGAGAGCGATATAATCAGAATATAATCATTATAGTACAGGGAATGGAGTAAATGAGGGACAGCAGGAAGCCCTTCTGGGAGGTTGTTGCAATAATCCAGTGAGAGAGAGTGGGAGTCAGACCAAGGAAGAGAGGAACCGCATGAGAGGAACATGGAGCCACGTGTGGGCTGTGAGAGAATCTTTGCAGAAAGAAACCATTCTACCGAGCAATCTCCAAAGTCAACTCCATCGCTCTCCAGTACATACTGAGCGTCAAGCTCTTTATAAAGCAAGATGGGCATTAGTGAACACACAGGGCAAATGGCGTACTTTGTTCAGGCAGGAGATATAGATATTCAATAAGCTATTACAATTATCTGTAATTTGAATAATTTTAATACGGGTACTACAAACTGATGTTCTGCCCTTTTCCAGTCAGCTTAAAATTGAACTGACATCTAGGATTTTTTCTTTCTTTTTTTTTTTTTTTGAGTCAGAGTCTCACTCTGTCACCCAGACTGGAGCGCAGTGGCATGCTCACAGCGACCGCAGCCTTGTCCTGCTGGGCTCAGGCAAACCTTCCACCTCAACATTTCAAGTAGCTGGAACTGCAGGCGTGCGCCACCATATCCAGCTAATTTTTTTATTTCTTGTAGAGACAAAGTCTCATCATGCTGCTAAGGCTGGTCTCGAAACTGCGGGCTCTGGCAAGCCTCTCTCCTCAGCCTCCCAAAGTGCTGGGATTACAGGCATGAGCCATAGTGCCTGGCCTGACATCTAGGATTTCAAGATTTAGCAAATAAAAATGTAAGCCACTCAACTGATCTTGAATTTCAAATAAAACAAAATGTTAAATATATACATATTTTTTCAAAAATAGGACACACTTATACTAAAAATTCAATCATTGTTTATCTGAAATCCAAATTTAACTGAGTGTCTGTATTTTATCCTGTAACTTTTCTGACACCAAAATATTACCTGTAGATAATAGCACCCTTCCACCGTGTGCAGCCCATCAAATGCCCCAAGGGCGTAAACTTCATCTGATCTCTTCTCAGACATCTTGTAGCTCAGATGACAGCAGAGATCTTTCTGACAAACTGTGTAATTTCCCATAACATCTGTGAGCTCCACGAAGGTGAATTCATCAAAGAAGACGACTCCCTTAAATTTCTGTTTTTCTGATGAGACTGCCTCTATACTACTGGCGTAAGAAGTCCAATTCACCACTCTGGGGTGGTATGGGCGGGCATCCAGTTGCGAGAAGAGGAGTTTTCCTTCTTCTGTCTTCATATCATAATGAAATGCCCTTGGAGAATTGGGTGCATAGATGCCACTTCCTGGAAGTAATAAGTTGAAAATGCTATTTGTCAAAACCTCAAGTGCCCATGCCATAAGGGATAAGATAGACAAGTGGGACCTCGTCAAACTGACAAGTTTCTGCAAAGCCAAAGAAACCATGAAGAAAGTAGGGAGCTCACAGATTGGGGAAAAAATATTTGCCAACTGTATGTCTGATAAAGTTCTAACATCTAGGATCTACAAGGAACTCAAATGTGCCGCAAAGAAAAAAACAAACAGCCCCATTACAAAGTGGGCAAAAGTATGAATAGACACTTCTCAAAAGAAGACATACAAGCAGCCAACAGATACATGAAAAAATGCTCAACCTCATCAGTCATCAAAGAAAGGCAAATTAAAACCACACAGAGATACCACCTAACTCCAGTCAGGATGGCCATCATCAATAACTCAAAAAACAACAGATGCTGGAGAGGATGTGGCGAAAAGGGAACACTTCTACACTGTTGATGGGAGTGTAAACTAGTACGGCCTCTGTGGAAAACAGTGTGGCAATTCCTAAAAGATCGAAAAATCAACCTTTCATATAACCCAGCAAATCTCTCTACTGGGAACATACCCAGAAGAACCAAATCACACCATAAAAAAGATACCTGCATGGAACCAACTGTGCTGCCCAGCAAAAGAAGACTGTATTAAAAAACTGTGATACATACACATGATGGAATATTATGCAGCCATAAAGAACAATTTCATGAACTTCACAGGAACTTGGATGGACTTAGAGTCTATAAAACTGAGTGATCTTTCACAGAAACAAAGAATTGAGTATCACATGTTGTCACCCAGAAGCGGACCTTGAACAATTATCATAATACTATAAGAAAAGGATTGGCAAGCGGGAAACTGCCAGGAGGGGGACAGGGAAGCAGAATTGGCAGTAAAAAATTTTTAAAAAATTTTATTTTAAAGATGTGGAGTGCAATTCAGGGTTAGATGTACAAATGCTCATTATGCATGTACCCTTGTTAAAAGTGGTAAATTTTGGGGAAAAAAAGTACATTCAAGTTGAATAAAACTAAATAAATCTACAAGACAGTTGAGATGGAGGTGAATTATATAGCATATCACCGGCTAGATGTGCAAAAATTAAGAGTTGGAAAGCATTGTATTAAGGAGTACAAGTTAACTAGAAAAAGATGGTTGGGGGGGAGGTGGAATTGACAGTGGTGGGAATCTGTCGGGGGAGGGAGGACACATCTCATCAACAAGGGTACCTGCATAATGAACAGTTGTATACCTAACCCTGAATTGTACCCCACATCTTGAAAATAAAAAAATTTTAAAAAGAAAAAGATGGTTTCTGCCTGGTTTTGCTTTTTGATTGCATCAAGCCTTTTTAAGTCTTAAAGACCACACATTACCTGTCATTTTCATCAAAGGGTAATGGATATTGGAGGCAAGGAAGTTGACTCCCATGCCCATAGCCCAAGCTGAGTGGAATTCAATCGCTGACAAATGTGGCAGAACATTCATCCAAGCTGTGGGAAATAGTATGGTGTTCACGTGGAGATCTTTCACCAGGGTAACTGCAGGATCATGGAAGAGTATATCAAAGCATGTGAAAATGCCAAACCTTCCAAATGTAGTGTTGAAAGTCACGACCTCAGGGCTCTTGGGTGCATTGAAGTGATCTTCACCTATGAAAAGGTGCTGCTGCAATAAGCAGAAGAAAAAGGGGAGAAATGCTTTTCGGAAGGTGACCTGGATATCATTATGTCTGAAAAAGCAGAAGCTCACATCTCTTACTCAGTGCCAATTTCATCTTCGGTCACTGTCTTCACAAGAAAAGAGTTTGCCTTATAGAACCAGAGGCTACTCCAGCCAAACTGAGCCTTTGGTTCAATCTTCACATAACAGATATGTACATGGGTCTCCTTATCTACAAAGAGTCTCTTAAATCTTACAAGACATAGGAACAAAATAGATAGCTTCTATTTGCCAAGTACACTTAACTATTCCCTGTGGGTACAGAATCCTGTTTGCTCCTTTTTCCTCAAGACCAAGTCTATCTGGTAAGGAATTTTTCATTCTAGCCTTGACCCATTGCCAGAGCATATCTTTAAAGGGGCAAAGTTTAAAAGGCAGCATTATATATTAATGTATATAGCTCCTGCTGACTCTCTTTATGGGGCTTTATATATCCAGTCATTACTTTCATGGTTTATTTCTATTCTACTTCTAAAGTATGCTTATTATTATCAATAACTTTTTTTTCCTTCTTGCCTACTTTATTTTATTAAGCACTCACTAGTTGAATTATTTGCAAGTTAATTTTACCTTATGGTAGCGTGCCACCAGCGTACCCTGAGAATCAAATACCACATTAGTGTTGTATTGGTAACGGCCATCAGGGGGACACTGAGGGTCACTGGCATTGCATGGCTTCTTGTCTCCAATATTTGCCACGACATAGATGGAGTTGTTCTTGGCCAGGCAGCTGAGTCTTTCTTGGACTGGAGTGTGGCCAAATCTGGTATATGTTCATTGGAAGAGGAAAAAAAAATTTATCAATCTTAGCTTTTAACAAAATTCTGAATGATAATTGCCTGAAACTATTATTTAATACACACAAAAATAAAGTCTGAATAACAGTAGGTAGAAAAGAAGGATTAAGACAAGAAGTAAGTTCAGAGGAAGCCCATGAATGTGGAAATCTGGTTGTAGGACACTACTATAGAATAAGATTCCAGGATATTTATTTTTTTCTTCATAGCATTATCATCTATAATCATATTTTCACTTATGTGTTTATCTTACAATGTCTGCAGAATCTTGTAGCTATAATGGAGCAAAAACCTACACATTCTGTTTACTGAGTCCATGCCTAATAGAAAAGAGGCATTAAGAAGCATTTTGAATGAGTGAAGAAAAACTTGGAGGTAGGAAAACCCTGGAAAAATGGCAGAGTAGGGAGCACTAGGAATTTGCCTCCCCATGTAGTCAGCAATTGCACTTGCAGAATCTGTCTGATATAAATATTTTGTAGCTCTGGAGTCTAATCAAAGGCTTAAAACTTCCAGGGGAAGGTTTGGAAGGTAAATTGCAATTACTTTCATTCAACTTCTGCCCTTAGATCAGCAGTGGCCCTGGGACAGGGCTTGGCCCATCCCTCACTGACTGGCCCTGGGGCAGGCAGCTGTGCATGTGTTCCTAAAGCAGCTTGCAGGCAACTTATGGGAGCATGGTGGACAGTAAGGGTCCTGACTTCCAAATATCAGGGATCTATGTTCTGATCACTGATAGTTGCCTCTGATTATGGGATGCAAACACTAGGCAGGCAGCCATCGGAGTATGCAAACACACACACACACACACACACACACATTGTTGCAAGCGTCCCCTCTGACTGAAGTTACTTCCAAAAGACATAAAGGGCCAGTGCCTTCTTTTAAAAAATTTTTTTTTCTTTTTTACCTTTGGGGAGTTGAACATGTAAGAAATAAGGCATGCAAAAGCAATCAAATATACAGAGGACTGTAGAAAGTCACCATACATGCCCAGGGAAAGACACAGGTTCAGAAAAGACCTAAGAATCATAAGTTTAGCCTCCAGTTGACCCTTAATACGTAAGCATTCTAAACAATCAAAATGAAAAATAAACAAACATAGCAAATCCTGGAAAGAAGGATAATCTGATTCCCAGAGATACCACATGATAAGATTCAAATGTCCAGATCAGCAACAACAAAAACCAAAAACACAAATTATACAAATAAATAGGAAAGTATGGCTAATTCAAAGGAAAAATAATGATAAACCAACAAAAACCATCCCTGAAAAGACCACACAACAAACCTACTAGACATAGACTTTAAAACAATGGTTTTAAAGATGCTTAAGAAAGTAAAGGAAGATGTGAAGAAAGTCAAGAAAACAATGTGTAAGCAAAATGGAAATATAAACAAAAGACAGAAAATCTAAAAGAAATCAAAAATAATTTTGGAGCTGAAAATTACAATAACTGAAATGAAAAATGCACTAAAAAGATTCAAAGACAGATTTGAACAGGCAGAAAAAAGAATCGTATACTTGAAGATAGGACAATTAAAATTATTGAGTCTGGGGAACAGAAAAAAAAATGAAAATAAGTGAGCAGAGCCTCAGGAACCTGTGAGACACCATCAAGTGTACCAATATATGCATTTTGCAAGTCTTAGAAAGAGAAGGGAGATTATTTGAAGATATATGACTGAAAACATCACAAATTTGAAGAAAGGCATGAATATAAAGATCCAAAAAGTTCAATAAATCCAACTGGATGAATTCAAAAAAGACCCACACTGAGACACATTATAATCAAACTGTGAAAAGTCAAAAACAAGATAGGAATCTTGAAAGCAGCAAGACAGAAGTGACTCATAACATACAAGGGATCTCCCAATAAGACTATCAGTAGATTTCTCATTAGAAATTTTGGAGGTCAGAAAGCATTGTGCTGATACATATAAATTTAAAAAAATAAAAAAATAAAAAAATCTGTCCATCAAGAATCCTGCAGAACTGTCCAAGCAGAATTGTTCTTCAGAATTATTCAACAGAATTTTTCTTCAGAAGTAAGAGTGAATTAAAACATTCCCAGAATTTTTTTTTAAGCTGAAGGAATTTGTTACTACTACACTTGCCAGATATGCTCAAGGGAGTGCCACAGGATGAAATAAAAGACACTAGGCAGTACTCAGAAAAAAAATAAATATACAAAAAATAAATATATCAATAAAGGTAAAGACATGGGTAAATAGAAAAGCTAGTATTATTGGAACTTCACTTTATAGCTCTTTCTTTTGCTTTACACATGGTTTAAGAGTATATTGCACTAAAAAATTATTAGTCTGTGTTTTGGGGCACACAATGTATAAAAATGTCAATCTGTGCCATCAATAACTGAAAGGGCCCAGGAACGGAGATGTATAAGAGGAGAGTTTTTGTATGTTATTGAAGTTAAACTGGTATAAATTCAAATTAGAGTGTTGTAACTTTAGAATGTTAGTTGTAATTCTCATGATAGAAAAAAGAAAATAGTTATAGAATATACACTAAAGGAAATGAGAAAGATTAAAATGTTTCTCTGTTTTGTTTTTTTTTTTTTTGAGTTGGCGTCTCACTCTGTCACCCAGAATGGAGTGCAGTGGCTGCTCTCGGCCACCGCAGCCTGGACCTGCTGGGCTCCGGCAATCCTTCCGCCTCAGCCTTCCAAGTAACTGGAACTACAGGCGTGCGCTATCACACCTGGCTAGTTTTTGATTTATTGTGGAGATGAGGTTTCGCCAAGTTGCCCAGGTGGGTCTCGAACCCGCGGGCTCAGTCAATCCACCCACCTCAGCCTCCCAAAGGCGTGGGATTACAGGCTGAGCCACCGAGCCCAGCTGTTTGTTTTATTAATGATGACCATTCTTACTGGGGTAGGTGGTATCTCAATGTGGTTTTGATTTGCATTTCTCTGGTGATAAGTGAGGCTGAGCACTTTTTCATGTGCCTGTTGGCTGCCTGCATATCTTCTTTTAAGAAGTTCTATTCATGTCTTTTGCCCACTTTTGAATGGGGCTGTTTGTTTTCTTCCTTTCGGCTCACTTGAGTTCCTTGTAGATCTTTTGTCAGATATACCATTGGCAAATATTTTTTCCCATTCTGTGTGCTGTCTTCCTGCTCTCTTGATGGTTTCTTTTGCTTTGCAGAAGCTCGTTAGTTTGATGAGGTCCCACTTGTCTATCTTATTTTTTAAGGTATGGGCATTTAGGGTTCTGAATAGGAATTGGTTGCCAGTTCCAGTTTCCATAAGGATGTCTCCTGTGTTTTCTAAGATTCCTATAGTTTGAGGTTTTACGTTTAGGTCTTTGATCCACTTAGAGTTAATTTTTGTGTACGGTGATAGGTAGGGGTCTTGTTCAATCTTCTGCATGTGATCAGCCAGTTTTCCCAGCACCGTTTACTGAATATGTTCTCCTCTCCCCAGTGGTTGTTGTCGGAGGGTTTGTCAAAGATGAGTTAATTGAGAAACTGAAGCTTTGCTTCCAGAATCTCTATCCTATTCCATTGGTCTATATGCCTGTCCTTGTACTAATAGCAGGCTGTTTTGATTACTGTAGCCTTAAAGTAAAGTTTGAAGCCTGGATGTGTGATACCTTCTAAAACAGACATTTCACAAATAAACTCTTAAGGCATAAGAAGTGTTAATATTCTAGACAGTGTAAATGGTTTCTTGACATTCATAAAGCAAGTAATAGATAATCCAGAGATATGGACCTTATTGCATAGAAGGAGCCTACCTCAACATAAGAAAGGTCATATATAACAATCCCATAGCTAACATCATACTCTGTGGGGTAAAGCTGAAAGCCTTTCTTCTATGAACTGGAACAAGACGAAGAAGCCCACTCACTACACCTAATCAATAGAAGTCCCAACCAGAGCAATCAATCAAGAGAAAGAAATAAAAAGACATGCTAATTGGAAAAGGAGCTATCAGATTGTCCCTGTTTGCAGTCATGATCTTATAAATAGAAAAACCAAGGTGCCACCAAAAACTCTTGCAACCGATAAATTCAGTAAAATTGCAAGATACAGAATCAACATACAAAAATTGATAGCTTTCCTATACACCAATAATAAACTAGCTGAAAAAGAAATCAACAAAGCAATCCCATTTACAACAGCTACAAAAAATAATAAATTATCTAAGAATAAACTTAATCAAATAGGTGAAAGACCTCTACAAGAAAACCAACAAAATACTGGTGAAAGAAATGAAGGACAATACAAACAAATGAAAAGATGTGCTCATGAATCAGAAGAATTTATATTGTTAAAATGACCCAAAGCAATCTACAGATTCAAGGAAATTCCTATCAAAATACCAATGTCATTTTTAGCAGAAATAGAAGAAAATCTCCAGAGAGCTAGAATCACAAAAAGAAAAAAAAAGGAGAGAAAGAAATAGAAAAAGCAATCCTAAAATCTATATGGAACCACAAAAGAGCCTGAATAGCCAAAGTAATAATACTAAGCAAAAAGAACTAAGGTAGAACTAACCACCTGTTGTTAAAATATACTACAAAGCTATAATAACCAAAACAGCATGGTATTGGCATAAAAATAAACATATAGACCAATGGAACAGAATAAATAACCCAGAAACCCATTTATTACTAATCAACTGATCTTCAACAAAGATGCCAAGAGCATACATTGAGGAAAGACACCCTCTTCAATAAAGGATGTTCAGAAAACTGGATATCCATATGCAGAAGAATAAAACTAGACCCTTATATCTCACTATATGTGAAATCAACTCAAAACAGATTAAAAGCTTAAAAATAACACCTAAAACTATAAAACTACTAAAAGAAAACTTGGAAGAAGCACTTAAGATCATTGTTTGGGGCAAAAAAAAAATTATGTCTAAGGCCTCAAAAGGGGAAACCACAAAACAAAAAATTGACAAATTGAACTCTATTAAATTAAAAAACTTCTGCACAACAAATAAAACAATCAACAGTGAAGAGACCACCTGTGGAATGGGAGAAAATATTTGCAAGCAATTCATTCAATAGGGACTAATATCCAGAATATACAAGAAACTCAGTGTAGCAGCCAAGACACTGGTAATCTCATTGCAAGGGAGGTAAAGGATCTAAACAGACATTTCTCAAAAATACGAATGGTCAATGGGCGTATGAAAAAATGCTCAACATCACTAATCATCTGGGACATGTAAATGAAAACCACAATGAGATATCATCTTAGATGATATGGTTAGAACGGTTATATCAAAAAGACAAAAAATACTTGGAAGGCTGAGGCGGAAGGATCGCCGGAGCCCAGCAGGTCGGGAGCGGCCACTGCACTCCAGTCTGAGCGACAAAGTGAGACTCCAACTCAAAAAAAAACCAGAAAAGACAAAAAATAATGAATGCTGGCGAGGAGATGGAGAAATGGGAACCAAGAGCAGTGTGTTAACTGGGTACAAGATAGGGTTCCTTACTTCCTATCTGTTTTGTCTAGACCTGACTAAAACCACATACAGTCCTGCTGTGTCATGATCTATGAATATCTTATTTAAACCATATTCGCACAAATCACACACTTTGGTTATAATCAATTTAAGCTTTAAATATTTTATTACATGAACCTCATCAGCCATCTTATCAAGATGAAAGGAAAATTATTCATTCTAAGCTGACGTCTGGCTCTATTTTGCCAATGACTCACACAGTTTTGGAATTACAGATCCACACAGGGAAATATTTTTCTGTTTACTGGCAGGGAGTCTGAGACTGGAGTTTGGGCCTTGTTCTTTTTGGAGTCTCACTCTGTAGCCCAGACTGGAGTGCAGTGGCCGCTCCTGGCCACCGCAGCCTCAACCTGCTGGGCTCTGGCGATCCTTCCGCCTCAGCCTTCCAAGTAGCTGGAACTACAGGCGTGCGCTACCACGCCCGGATCATTTTTGATTTATTGTAGAGATGAGGTCTCGCCAAGTTGGCCAGGCGGGTCTCGAACCCGCGGGCTCAGGCAATCCACTGACCTCAGCCTCCCAAAGGCGCGGGATGACAGGCTGAGCTACCGAGCCCGGCTAGGACCTTGTTCTTCCACTCGCTACCATGAACTGTGACCCTGAACAAGTTATGCTACCTACCCAGACTCATTCCCTCGATGGAAAGATACCCACAGTGAATGTGGTTATTTCTAAGCTACCTTCCAGCACTGATTCCTGTGATTCCATAATTCATATCTACTTTCCTAATAAATATATTCATAGTAGATGAGAAGTTATCTGGAAACTTAGAGTTGACAGTGGCACTCTGCAATGAATTTCAACAAGGTTTTCTCAGAGAGAATAAGTTGAATTTTTCGCCATCTGTTTCTTTACCTGTTCGGATTATTACAAGGGATCCAGTTCACTTGAGGGTGTGGGATATCCTCCAAGTAGGGGTAGACAGATTCCCTGCTGAAGTTCCAGCCGTAAATGGCATCTTCTGGAGTCACAATAATATGTGCACCCTGTGACAAAAGTTGCTTAATTAAAATGTCTCAAAGGCAAGCAAAAAGGGGACCTACCTGAGGAACTAAGAACTGAGTGGCTGAGTAACAATTATTTGGGCTTCCCCCAATCCTTTCTTCTTATTCTTTTGTGTTTGCTATTTTTTTTTTTTTTTTTTTGAGTTGGAGTATCACTCTGTCGCCCAGACTGGAGTGCAGTGGCCGCTCCCGGCCACCGCAGCCTCGACCTGCTGGGCTCCGGCGATCCCTCTGCCTCAGCCTTCCAAGTAGCCGGAATTACAGGCATGCGCTACCACACCCGGCTGATTTTTTTTTTGATTTATTGTAGAGATGAGGTCTCGCTGCCCAGGCAGGTCTCGAACCCGCGGGCTCAGGAAATCCACTCACCTCAGCCTCCCAAAGGCGCTGGATTACAGGCTGAGCCACCGAGCCCGGCAGTGTTTGCTATTTTTATAATTTATTTTGTTGTCCCAAGCACAGTCATGTTCTAATCCTGCCATCATCGTTTCTAGGTCACTTTTTCACTTTTTCATAGACATTACTAGTTTTCCAAGCCACTCATGGCTCCGCCTCCCACTGTAGTCATTAACCATAAATCTAGCTGCCTCCCTGACCTTCAGTAGATGATCGTGCCTGGCTATGTCGGGATGGATTTATAACTCAACTTCCTACTCAGCCCTAGTCTTCCCCTGCACCATACCCTGCACACACGATCCCTGCTTCTCTGGAAAAGAGGGCTTATATCCTGGTCACCTGAGCTGTGCTGAGCTTGCAGTTGCTGCCTGGGCTAACCTGGGCACCTGCTGATTGAAGAGTCACCTTAAAAGCACTGTTACTTCTAAGGAAATCAATGGACTAAGGGTTAAAAGGAACATCAGAACTCCTGACAATCTTTTAAATTTTAGTATACGTAAGAATATATATTAATAGAGATATGTAATATGAATGTATCCACGACTTTGATCACACTTCATGGATCCCTGGTCTAAACCTGATCTATGAATATCTTATTTAAACCATATTCATATAAACCACACACTTATATTGTATAAATAGCTGTAGACTTAACCCTTTATTCAACTCAAGGGCTTACTGTGCATTCACATATATACTTTTATCTTGTCATTGGAAAGACGTACGATGTATATAATACATATTGGTAAGTAATTTGCAACTAAAGTTGAACTGTTTTCCACTTATAAACTTACCCCCAAACCTACAAACTCTTAAGAGCCCAAGAATCAGCCTGTAATCCCACGCTTTGGGAGGCTGAGGTGAGTGGATTGCCTGAGCCCGTGGGT